CTCCACTAGATCCGGAGTATCTCGACTCTATACTCTAGCGATCACGCTGGGAACAAAACCTAATCAACACCCGCACCCGCCGCTCAAGGGCTCAGAGGCCAGCTCGTCGAGAGGAACCACTCCCAGCAAGCTGGCCTGTAGCAGCTCGCCGGGAGGGGTTCCTCCCAACGGTGTGGCCTCTGCCCCTTTAGGCCGAGGGGGCTGGTTTTTTTTTTTTTTTTTTAAAAAAAAGCACTCCTGGAAGAGCCTCGCCACCCATTCAGAGGGCGGGTATCCACGCGGATAGTATCCGCTGGCGGATGCGGATGCGGATGTGTGTTTCCGCTGAAATCGTGAGCGGATATCCGGATTCAATGCGCCCATCTCTAGATGGAGCTGCAGATGGCTTGGGGGAGTTGAACATAGGTATAAATCAAAACACAACACCAGTAGGGGATGAGGTGTTGGTAGAGGTTGAGATAAACATATTTTTTTGTTCTGGTTGGTTGGAGAGATTATGAACAACTTTTAACCAACTAGCTCAAAAGAGAAGAGAAGGTTTGGACATTCTCAAAGTTTCACTTATGAAGGGGGCTCAAGAGTCACTAGGTCAAATATGAGGAGAACCAATGACATTTCAATTACTATGATCTAGGTTATGTGTTAAATAGACTAGGTACAAGCAGTAAATGTGTGGTATACACAAATTGACCATTGGATAAAAACATTGAATACTGTTGATAAAAACTAGCTTATGATACTAGACTGTCAGACTGAACTATCTTTAACTACTACACCTAGGTTATTTTGACTACCTGTGTGTGTGTGCAAAGAGTAAACTCTCATACTTTCAAAGGGAGTCAATCAAATGATTCATGGAGAAAAACAAGGAAGGAATAAAAATGAGTTTTTGGGAACAAGTAGAAACAAGACAGAATTTCAACAGATTGTTTTTCTGTGTGGTTCATGACAGAATTTTGATCATCTGCTCTGGTGAAAATGGAGGTAGAATCATGTATACATCCATATTCTTTATGGAGATGGGTGTGTGAGGGTCAAGCTGCCAAAGAATAGGATTCACTCATAATATTGTCAGCATGGGAAATTGAACACTGCCTTCCATGCCCTATGGTTGGCATCCCCCTCCAACAGCAAGGATGTTGAGGCTCTAGAATAATGATACAGGCCTCCCACAACCTGCAAGTAGTTTTCAAAATCCAAATTTTGTCACTTCATTTTGCTGACAACAGTCACTGCACAAAGTGACAAAATCCAGATTATGGCAGCTACTTGCAGGCTGTGTGCCTGTGCACACACATGTGCATACCCTGTGACAAGGTGTCAACCCCTACACACAAATGTGATTCACACCTCCAGATGGGACATTCATGTTCCAGTGCGGAACCTGAAGCAACAGTGGGCCAATGTGTTATGATACAATATTTCAGCCCCATTGTATGACATTTTCCTGTCAATTTTTCTTTTTTTTTTGTTAATTTTATCTGAAAAATATTGATTTTTTTTTTTATTCTTTACGATTTGTAACAGCCCAATACAGGCTGTACTGACTGAATAAGAATATTTTGGCTGTTTTCAATCACTCAATAACAATGAAATTGTAATATAATAGTTTTTTCATTACTTTGGAATGCCTTACCAATACAGTCATTTGTATTCGCCCACAGAAAAAGTTGTGCAACTGTTAGCAGTTTGTTACAACCGGAGCGCTCCACAAATACTCAGCATTATCCTAAGTCCTCATACTCAACCCACTCAGACGTCTAGACACTCAGTCTCTAAAACTTTCTCCACCAATCAAAACAATTGACGGTATAATCAGTCCTTTTCCATTATACACTCTCAATGTTATCCTCAGTTTCTTTCTATCATTATTTTTCTTTTCTTCATGCTCTGAATACAAAGGTTTCTGCTCATCTCACCTACTCACTGACTGCTTTGCTAAAAATATGTCTCAATCTACAATGACAACATTTGTATATAAATAATGTATGTTTGTCTCTGTTGTTTCTCTCATGCTTCTCGGAAATCA